TAGTTATAGTTTTAAACAACGGATCGATCGCAGAGTCGGGAACACCGGAACAGCTCTTAGCGGACAACACATCCATCTTCTACTCAATGGCCAAACAGGAAAAACTTATCTAAAGATTATTTAACTATAATACCAAAGTTTATTAATAAATAAATATTTATTTTGATTAAATGTTTAAATAAAGTTTGTCTAAATAAATTACTATAAATTATAGTCTATAATAAGAATGCTCTGAACATCTATGACTCTATGTAAACTCATTCAAGTTTACATAGTAAAACTCTCCTAGGCTCTCATTAAACTCTCCTAGAGAACATCCTTAGTCTATAATATGTGTTTCAATTTGTTATCAACTTTTGGTAAAAACTATTTATTTCTATTGTGTATAATATCTAAGATAATTTAACTTTAAGTACATATTTTCATTATAAATGTATTAAGTATTGTAAATGCTTTTGAACTAATTCATGGTAAACCACATGGTATTATAATGTTGAAGGACATGCTACATTCCTTATTTCTGACATTGTTTAAAGGTAGTTTATTCAGTAATTGATATACAGTATTAAACATGAATTGTGTTTGTAATTTTATTTTTATTTAAGATTTATATAAGTTTTATTTGTTTTACATTACTAATTTATAAATGGTGTTGGGAAAAGTCTGCCTGATAAATCAGTATATTTTATATAACTAATGTACTGTAATGTACTGAATGTACAGAACATTTTGTATAAATATCATTGTTGTTATAAACGTTCATTATTCAATTCAATTATGTTAATTGATTAGATAATTCATTTATATAAAGTATATTTTATCTAAAATGCTATTTGTTTTGTCAACACTTTATAATAATACATTTTGATGTTTTAACTGTTTTACAAAGAGTTTAAGTTTATTAAAGTTACTAAATAAGATTAAGTTCTTTGTTATAATGATCGGAATACTTTTTGAAAACACCTTATGGGTAAGTTCTAAAGTTTTAATAACTTTTCAAGTTGTAATGTAACCAATATTATTTTTGTTTTATTTTATATAACTAGTAAATCATTTTAATAAATAGTAAATTGTATTTTACAGGATTTAAGCCAAACCTGGATTACGGACTCATTTCCCGATTTTGGTTTCAGTATTGAAGAGACGGCACTCGTATGGATGCCATCCTTTATATTATTTGTCACATCACTGTATGAATGGCACAATTGGTCGCCAGAAGTGATCACATCCAGGGGTTCATCACATCCCACGACATGGACTCTACTCTCCATCATTAAAATTGTATTTATATTTAGTTATAATTCAAATGTCAAAAAGAAATAATAATTAAATTGTTTTAGTGTTTATCAGGAGTGGTATTAATGTTGAGTTTATGGCAACTCTTAAGTGCAATAAGAAATTCAGAAAATATTATCACACATTTAATAATGACATCAACTTTTGTAAGTATTTATTCAATTAAAATATTTAAATTGATTTTAATTAAAGCTTAATTATATTAATTAATTATATTTTTTAAAAGGTTTATACAATAGTTTTGATAATTAATCACAAGAAGCGAGTAATGAATACTTCGGGCGTTTTATTCATATTCTGGTTGTGTTTGTCTATCGGAACCGCATTTAACATAAGGACTATATTTTACATTGCATTTAATGAAGTATTAATTTTTATAATTTATAATTTGTTATTAACTATCAATAAATTTGTGATATATTTATTAAGGATTCAATTGATTCCTATGACAATGTCTTCACGTATACTACAAAATCGCTTTCATACCCAATAATTATCACTCAATTATTGCTCTCATGTTTTGCGGACTCAACACAAGTCTTCACAACTGTTGCCGACAGAGAAGTACTGAAAAACAATAGATATTTTAAAACAATTATAAAATTTAATATTTATTTTCATTCAGAATTCTAGTCCTGAAAATGAGTCATTATTTTTATCTCGACTCACATTTTCATGGTTTACACCAATGATTATGAATGGCTATCGGAAACCATTGACCACTGAAGACATGTGGTCGCTGTCCACACAGAATCGGACCAATGTTTTCATCAAACAATTCAATAAACACTGGAAACCAATAAAAAACAACAAAACCAAAAATGCAATCAATATATTCCCAGTGGTGCTAAAGACCTATTGGCCAACACTGGTGTTCACGGCGTGTATTAAACTAATGGTTACATTATTAACATTCACTCAACCCCTAGTACTCGACCGACTCATAACATTCATCACATCCCAGACCAACACCACAGACACCGGCGAACCCATTTGGAGGGGCTATGTATACGCCTTAGCTATGTTTGCGTCGACTGTATTAGCATCGGTGCTGAGCGGACAGTACACACACCGTCAAAACGTTTTGCTTATGAAAATTAAAACTTGTGTCACATCCGCGCTGTACGAGAAGGTAATAAATATATAATTTAATAAAAGTTATATACAGTAATTCACAATATAAATACACTACAGTATATTGACATATATACAATACATTACTTGTTACTTTTACCTACCAGTCCCTGCGGCTGTCCAGCGCTGGTCATAAAGACTTTTCTACCGGCGATATCGTTAACCTAATCTCCGCCCACACGGCAAACGTAATGAATTTTTTCAACTTAATGAACAACCTATGGCTGAGTCCCGCAATAGTGATAATCGCCACATGGTTACTATGGGCTCAGTTGGGCGCCGCCACTCTGGCCGGTGTATTAATTTTGGTACTATTGGTGCCAATCAATTCATATGTGTTGGCCCGTGAGTATAAACTCTGGGGCAAAATTATGACCTTAAAGGATCAAAGAATGTCTGCCATTACCGAAACTATAAATAACATTAAGGTATTAAAGCTGTACGGCTGGGAACCGGCTTTCATGACCCGAGTGTTTGGCCACAGGGATCAGGAGTGTAGTGCACTTCGCTCAGCAAATGTGGTGGGCGGTGTTCATCGAGGTCTAATGGCCACAGCACCATACTTGGTTTGTAAACTTATTAGAAAGCTACATGATTAATTGCAATTTCTATGGCATTAGGTTAGTTTAGGCAGTTTTACGGCATTCCTATACATGTCTGACCAGAATATTCTGGACCCGAATAAAGCGTTTGTTTCACTTTTGTTGTTCAATATAATGAGTGAGTGATTGTGTATTGATTTTTATATTAATTTTAAGTTGAATTTTAAATTAAACTAATTTATGTAACATAAATAGAGGGCGATATAACACGATTCCCATATCTTGTTAACGCAGCGCTAAATGTAAGTTAATTAGCATTAATTAGTAATTATATAGCATATAATAATTCTCTTATTTATTTTAGTGTAGATTTTCAGTGAAGCGAATGAATTCATTTTTAAACGCTAATGAAGTGAATGAGAGTTTCGTTGACCACAAACCCAATCAAAGGACTCCTATTGTCGTCAAAAACGGTTCATTCAAATGGGATAACAATTGCAACGATTCTGTGCTCAAGAATATCAATATAGAGATAGAGAGTCAGTCATTGGTGGCAGTCGTGGGTCGTGTGGGCGCCGGCAAGTCGTCCCTATTATCGGCTTTATTGGCAGATATGGAGAAAAGTGAGGGCTCTGTGAATGTGAGCGGACGGACAGCTTATTGTCCACAACAGGCGTGGATTCAAAACACAACTCTTCGACAGAATATTCTGTTTAATAGTGAATATAATCCGGAATTTTATAACAAAGTTCTGGATTCGTGTGCTTTGAGACCCGATTTAGCGGTCCTTTCGGCCAAAGATATGACAGAAATCGGGGAAAAAGGGATCAATTTGTCCGGCGGTCAGAAACAGAGGGTTTCACTCGCGAGGGCTGTCTATTCCTCGGCAGACATATATCTATTGGACGATCCGTTGAGTGCTGTTGTGCCGACTCTAAGGCCCGCCATATCTCGAGGTCTGAGTATTGGACCAAAGGATCCAAATTATAGCGCAAAGAACCCGTGAAAAGCGCCGGATCTTGAGGTATGATTGTTAGCCTCGATCTCAAGTCCTGCAAACCAATGGTAGAGCAGTCGACGCCATCGATGGTAACGGTTCCGGCCGTCGGCTCAATGAGTCTGAAGAGAGCCAACGCGAGGGACGACTTTCCAGCGCCGGTGCGGCCGACGATCGCAACCCTTTGTCNGCAGTCGACGCCATCGATGGTAACGGTTCCGGCCGTCGGCTCAATGAGTCTGAAGAGAGCCAACGCGAGGGACGACTTTCCAGCGCCGGTGCGGCCGACGATCGCAACCCTTTGTCGGCCTTTCATATCAATTGCTATATCTTTGAGCACTAAATCTAAACCCTCTCTATATTTAGTGCAATAGTCTGTGAATGAAATGCAACCCATTGTCGGCCAGTTGTCCGCGGGTTTGGTCTTCTCGTTATACCACTCGGCCTTCAGAAATGAAAAACATATTAATTAATGTATTATAAGATTGCATACAATAATAATTACTTCTTCAGGAATTTGTGTTAATTCCAGACATTTCTCAATAGATATCATAGAAATATCGCAATCATTAACACTAGTTATCAATAGACTTAAGTATAAAGTAATGTTCAGCGAGAGATTGATGGCGAGTGCGGCCAAACCGGGCGACAACTGATCCCTGAATACCACGGCCGCAATGGTTGACACAAACACTATCAGAGATCCCAAGAACTCGAGTCTTATTGAGAGCCACTGTTCGGCACACGATCTCGAGTGAAAGCAACGGTTATTGGCGTCAAGTCGTCGGTACGACTGGCGGACAAACCAGTGGTCGGCGCCGAACGCCCTAATACTTGCCGTTCCGTTGAATGATTCACTCAAATGACTTATAATCGGCGATCGGGTCTCGGATTCAAAACGCTTGATCTGTCGGGAGCTCGAGATGAACACTCGTTGACACATAATATACACTATAATAATGGGTCCGATGGCCAGCAGTACTAATGGTGTTTCCATTGATATAACGCCGAGTGAGACGATCACCACCAAGAAGTTGACTACAATTCGGTCCAATACATAGACTATACTGTCGTCAATGATGTCCATCTCTTGCGAGAATCGGTTCAGTATTCGTCCCATTGGTGTCGTGTCTGTAAAACAGAGGAGGAATGGTATGAATATTAATAGCAATGATTATGAATAACAATCACTATTTACTAACCGAAGTAAGACATGGGCGCCCGAACCACACGTGCCATCATCTGGTTGTGCAGCACTTGACCCGCCCGTACGCACCGCAGCCGTAGCCATATTTGGGCGATAATAAGGGCAACCATTTCAGTGGCACCGATGGCCGCGTAGACCCATAGCCGCCGATACCGTAGAGCCGTATCGTTGGCCGCACTCGAGTCCAACGAGTCGTCTGACCACTCGCTTAGCCATAAGCCCGACGCGGCTGCGGCCGCATTGGCCCCAACATAGCTCAGTATTATAGCGATTAAACTACTTATGCCAATCAAATTGAAGTATTTCTTATAGACACTCATTTTGATGCCTCCTTTGGCCAACACTTCTTTGTCTATGAGTTTGCCTTTACTTTTATCGGACACTTCTTCTTCAGTGCTGTGTTTAGGTTTTGTATTTTGATTTTCATCATCTGTTGACTTATTATCAGTGCCTTCGCTGTCATTAGATCTGACGGACAATTGCTTTTCTATCAATGGTTTCACTGTTTGTTTCAGTTTTGCCAGAATTTGCAACTCTTTCTCATCGATGTCTTCGGATTCCTGTTTAACGACATATTCGGCAACAAATTCAGCGAATTCTCCACTTTTGGCCATCAGTTCATCAAATGATCCGAAATCACAAACGGATCCCTCTTTTAAGACAATTATTTTGTCCACTTCTGTCAGAAGTGGACAAAATAATTGTCTTAAAAGAGGGATCCGTTTGTGATTTCGGATCATTTGATGAACTGATGGCCAAAAGTGGAGAATTCGCTGAATTTGTTGCCGAATATGTCATTAAACAGGAATCTCAAGACATCGATGAGAAAGAGATGCAAATTCTGGCAAAACTAAAACAGACAGTGAAACCATTGATTGAAAAACAATTGTCCGTCAGATCTAATGACAGCGAAGACAATGACGTTAAGGCAAGGAATCAGTCAGGAGTTGTGTCCACAAGTGATGTAAATATAACAAAAACATCTGCGGAGGAAAACGACGAGGAAGTGTTGGATAAGAGCGACACAAATAGTAATATAAAATCTAATGATAATTCTCAAGACAAAGATTCAGATGAAAGTAAAGGCAAACTCATAGACAAAGAAGTGTCGGCCAAAGGAGGCATCAAAATGAGTGTCTATAAGCAATACTTTGGTCTAATCGGCGCCTGGAGTTTGACCACAATATTCGTGGCTTTCATTGTGTCAAACATCGCGAGCGCGGCGTCGGGTCTATGGCTGAGCGAGTGGTCAAACGACGCGCTCAACTCACAAGTGGTCAACGATAGGGCCCATAGGGGTCATCGGCTCGGGGTCTACGCTGGCATCGGTGCTATGGAAGTGATTGCTCTCATTATTGCAAAACTATTGCTACGATTTCGGTGTCTTCGGGCCAGTCGTGAACTGCACGACCAGATGATAGCGCGTGTGGTTCGGGCGCCCATGTCTTACTTCGGTCAGTAAATATGCAAACATTTTATTTTAATTACTGTTAATTATGATTAGTGTTAAAACAAATTTGGTTTTATTATTGATTTGAATTTAGTGTGTTTTATTTGGTTTTATTATTTTTTTTTTAAAATTTGGTTTTATTCAATATAATAATATTTAATTCCAGATGAGTTAATAAAGAATAAAACCCTTAGTGCGCTCTCTTTGCCAATTAAATCAATAATTTTAACTTTTACTCTATTAATATGAATTGTTTGTTTGTTGAGGCATTTTATTTACCGAAAAACAATTAAATATATGCACAAATGTATAAAATATGTGATGTTTGGTCACATTATACAAATTAATAATACCAAAAATTGGTTTTATTTAGTTTTATTAATAAAACCAAATTGTATTATTTTTAAATTTGGTGTGTTTTATTTGGTTTTATTTGTTTTAACATACTGTTGCTCAAAAATCGGCTGCGGCCGATTTTTTTAGGGTGACCAGATATTTCGCTCAAAAAAATCACATGAATTTGTATATTAATAAATTAATAGAAAATCAAATTATTTAGCAAATATTACTATTTTTGAGTTTAATTAACAAAATATTATTTTGATTTAATTGTTTATTATAAATAATAATAGTAATATTAGTTAAAATTATATTTACTGGCCAGAGTCTGAGGCAAGCACTTACTGTCTCAACACTTATTTGATTAGTGTATGGGTATATTTATAAATTTCCTTATATACACCAAAATGATAAGATCAAAAATAATTTTAAACGTTTTTCCATTTTCGATTCCATAAATCTATTCTTACACAAAGTACGATAGCTTTTGAGCAACACTATTTTAACAAATAACTTTCAACACTAATTATGATACCATTCCTCCACAACAGACACGACACCAATCGGACGAATATTAAATCGATTCTCGCAAGAGATAACCAAAATGGACAGCGAACTATGCTATGTATTTGAACTTATGTTACTTAACTTTTTATTGGTAATACTGTTTCTGGGAATGATATCATTGGAAACACCATTAGTACTGCTGGCCATCGGACCCATTATTATAGTGTATATCGTATGCCAACGGATATACATCTCGAGCTCCCGACAAATCAAACGCATTGAATCCGAGACCCGATCGCCGATTATAAGTCATTTGAGTGAGACTTTCAACGGAACGGCAAGTATTAGAGCGTTCGGCGCCGACCACTGGTTTGTCCGGCAGTCGTACCGACGGATAGACGCCAACAATCAATGCTTTTATTTAAGTTTTTGCGGAGAACAGTGGTTACAGATTAGGCTCGAGTTCTTGGGCTCATTGATAGTGTTTGTGTCAACCATTGCTGCCGTAATTTGTAGGAACCAGTTGTCGCCCGGTTTGGCAGCACTTGTTATTAATTACTCGCTGAATATAACGCTAAATTTAAGCTCATTTATATCCTTTGTTAATCATACGGACAATGCTATGATAGCCGTTGAAAAGTGTTTAGAAGTAACACAAACGCCACAAGAAGTAATTATTATAAGATCAGTGGTCAGTGATTGTGGGGTTAATGTATTTTTTTTGTATATTTAAAGGCTGATTGGATAAACGAGAAGACTAAACCCGCGGCCGATTGGCCGACAATGGGTTGCATTCAATTCACAGACTATTGCACTAAATATAGAGAGGGATTAGATTTAGTGCTCAAAGATATAGCAATTGATATGAAAGGCCGACAAAGGGTTGCGATCGTCGGCCGCACTGGCGCTGGAAAGTCGTCCCTCGCGTTGGCTCTCTTCAGACTCATTGAGCCGACGGCCGGAACCGTTACCATCGATGGCGTCGACTGCTCTACCATTGGTTTGCAGGACTTGAGATCGAGGCTAACAA